ACTACTTTGATCGACTCGGTATAAACGAACATCTCTGCTTTGAAAATTTTATTGGCGATCAAAAATTCGACCATGACATCTACTTCCGCCTGAGTGGTTATGAGAAATTCCTCATGCCACGACGACCCGCCTGGTCTGTTTGGATATCGATACACCATACGATCAACTTTCCTCGTGCCACCCATGCAAGTAACCTCAGTACACATTTGATGAAGATCTTCAATGTTCGGTTTCGTAGCAACCTACACTTTATGAAAATTACCATCGACTTAACGTACCCCCTTTTTGGTCTCTTCTGTATAACCATTCCACCGTAAACCAAGCGTGAAATTTTCAAATGCCATATTCAATTAAACAGTAACTAAGTTAATTCCATAAAATTTGTCGACGTTAATTGCAAAGCAAATTTACAATAAAAAGTATTACAAAACAAACTTACAAAGTAACGTTAATCGTTAAAAATCAAAACAGAAACTGAAAGAAGAATAGGAAGAGGGGTGAGGAGCTAAGGTCTCCGGGGGCTGCCTTTTATATGCAAAATGTCAAGCAAAACCGCAGCCCCCTGCATGTCGACATGTTGGCTGTCGGGAAATACACACAAAACCGCATCCCCACAAACGGTTTGTGTGTCGACATAGTAAACCACTTTTTAAAGGAGCGGTTTCAATTTTCAACAAAAAAACCACTCCATCACCAAGCGGTCTGTTCTAGGTCAGCCATTGAAACTGCGCACTGGAGGAGTGGTTTGTTCCCAAATTTTAAATTGCATCCTCATCAAACGTTTCCCCAGCAAAGCGCAGTCTCCACATGCGATTCTCGTTGAAACCGCACCTTACCCATGCGGTTTCCAATTTATGGGGGTATTTTTGGAATTATTCCAGGTTAGATGTTATTTTTGAAAGAAAAAAAATTAAACAGTGGTATTCCTAGAAAAAACTCATTGAGAAGCTGCAATTTTTGACATTTACAGAGAGGATACTAACAAGTATGCAAACAACTTTGCTAACTATGAATTGACTAATAAGTCCAAATACTATTAAATATGTTTACTCAAATAAAGAGTGTAATTATTTTTAAATGAAAATAAATTATATTGATATAATTGATGGAAAAATAAAAATTCTGGAAAGGAAATATAGAAAAGAGGGGATAAAATTATTCTCATCATTCTCTTAATTTGTTTGCTTTTCTCAAACCTTTCCAATTCTTACTTTTATGACTCGCTCAATGTGGTGACATAATTTTGTTCACACTTTCATACCTTTTTTTATTTTAGGCCTAAATTTTACCAAGAATTCACAATTTCACGTTACCCCAAACTCCCTTCATTCCAGCTTACGCCAATGACATGTTGATGCATGATTCAGGAAAAAAAATTATACAATTAATCTTAAATAAAAGGCACAAATAAACAAGATAAAAGTACGAACACGGTCCAAATTAACCTTCCCTGAATGAGTGTCCAGCCAAACAACAATGTAAAAATCAAGTCGTTGAAACTCAATTGAGGATCTGTCGGTAATCTAAAATCTCAAATGGCAAGCCAAATTGGGACTGACAAGTGACAACTCATCAACCACTAGTGATAGTTCACTTCCATTTGATTAGTAGGTTGTTATACTCATTAATACCACGAAAAGTCTCTGAATGCAGCCCCATGTCTTGCATTTATTTTTGAGGTTGAAGACTGGTGAAATGGTGACGGCAGGTAGGCCAAATGTGTCTAAGAGATGTCATCCATATACATATTCTATGCATATTACAAACAAAAGATGCTATGGCTGGTACGTATCTAGAATTTTGGATCGGATGTGTGACAGCGTGAGCAATGATGATGAAAGTTGGGGTATGAAATTGGAGACAAAACTGTGAAGGAAGTGCAAAGGAGAAAAGGAAGAAGAGAAGAGAGCATTCATGTGAACCACAACTTTTCTATCAAGAAAAGGAAATGTTGGCAATATGCCTAATGGCTCTCCAGCACAAGTCAATGGTGCGAATTAAAAGCCCTTTTGTTTTGTGGGATTTATTTGTCTTTAAGGTGAGTGGAAGTGGCAATTGCGTGTATGGGTTGGGAAGAGCTGTCTCACAATTAACAGACATGCGATTCCTGAAACAGACACTTCCGTCGGCTTCCATTTTCTATCCTCCACGATTTACAATGTTGCTCACAATCATTCTGTAAAAACCTGCTCACAATTGTACAGAGTTGTTGAATCATGTAAGACGTAACCCGCTATTTGGATCAATAGGGTGACAATCTGATATGTTAGCGAACTTGTTTTCATTAACTCCGCCACTATTCAATCTGCAGTTGAAGGGAAGAAGCCCGAAAATGTAAGCTATATAAGAGTTCCGCCACAAATGGTCTCTGTATCGAAAATCAACCTTCACGTGTTCGTTGCCAGAGTTAGGAGCCAAATTTCGGTGAAGTTAGCCAAATACTATTGCCACCGTAAAAGTCAATCAAAGAGAGTAGGGTGATAGTTGGTTAATAAAATAATAATAAATAGTGATGGGACCAACTAATTCCATCTTCATAAACTCAATTCCTATTACTTTTGATAGGAATTGTAATTCCCAAAACTTATCCCAAATGGAATTCATTTTTCAACTTTCTTATCCTTCCAAACATAAAATATGAAACTGGAATTGAAAATGGAATTCCGAGTTTTTTGTGAATTTAATAATATCATTTGTTGTATCAATGTAATTGGGATAAACAAATGAGTTATAAATCAAAGAATCCTCTTTAAACAACGCTAATCCATTGATATATGGAGTAAGACCAACATATGTAGTACATTTTGGATTATTTAGTGGTGAATCAATATGGGGATATGGATTCCACACACAACTGACCTGAGGTGTCAAACACGATTTAATCATTTATAAGGAAATTAAATGAGAAGTCAGGGGAGTGATTATACACATTAATTAGATAAGAGTCCTCAGAATTAAGTTTGGTACAATATCTTCCTGCTACCAAGTATTCTTCTCGACGAAGGGATAAAACATTGATACTGTTGATGTACTCTTCTTGTTAGTTCTGAAATGAAAATCAGGCATATCATGTGAGCTCTCATAAGAATTGGATGGATACCATAAATCCAGATCCTTATTCCTTAGTATGAATGTGATACCTAAGAATTCGTTTTGTACCAATGAGATTGAATTGCTTTCTATTGATTATAATCTGGCACAAAAAATAGGATTTTTCGTCTAATCTATAACTTTAATAATGTAAAGATCATATAATTCCCACAATAAACCATTTCATATTTATAGCGTGTTTTCAATTTTTCATCAATGGTACTGGTGCTAATAGGTGAAGAAGAGACAAGAGTTGGACAAGTGCTTTCAAGAAAGTATGTGACTTCGCCTATCATACTCGTTTCAAAATATACTATTTACATAAATGTAGCAGAATTGTTTGCACATAAGCTCGTTACAGGCTCCACATGAAATGTCATTAACTTAAATCTCAAATATGGTCTTGTCCTTGCCAATGTGGTAGGAGTTTGTTCTACATTAACACCTCCTCGTTCAATATCTTGTTAAAAATCGATCAACTTTCTACATTCGTCAAAAAAAATGTAATTTTCTACCAGTATCGTACTAAAAGCAACAGGAACGCAATGGCAAATTTCTCATCAAATTTTTTACCTTCTTGATTATAGCCCTTCCCACTATTCTGGCTCTATTTCTAGTTACAATTCATCCTTTATGAAAAAGAATATTCCAAAGCACACCATTTGCTTACTAGAACTTGTTTAGATAGGTCTTGAACTACTCCTCAACCCCTAATATCAGCTCTTAACAATTTGATTTTCTTTTTGTGGCTTTTAGTCTCAAGATTCGACTTCAGAATGTGATGAATGTTACATCTTACATTACCACTAGGCCATCTCTAATTGAGATTAAACTAAGGCTCTAATGTAACTAGTAGCCTCTTTGGAACATGGAAGTCATTAAGAAGTTGCATCGATTCATCAATATCCATCTAGCGAGTCATTTTTTTCATAAAAAAAAGTTTTTAAGGATGACTATAAATGAGACGCTACTGATGATGTTGTGACTGCAGACAGCCACCTGTGTTCTGTTCTGGAGCAACTTTCGCACCCTCTAGTCTAGTTGACACGTTAATCACATGCATTCAAATGGAATGGAAACTTTGAACAACACTGTAGCTGTGTACTATGCTATCTATAATATTGCCCCAATTGGAGGAAATTAAGATCCCGAAATCGGAAAATTAGAAGAATATTTGAGGGACAAACAATATCCACTAATGATGACCAGTATACAGTACGTATACTCATAATCAAACGTCTTTTAAGATGAGTATATATCCTGAATCTTTCCAGCTTTCTATACTAAAAAAAATTCCCTCTTCATTCATTATAGTAACAATGATGCAAACAACCTGTTAGTTTGCTATCTTGGTACTAGCACAGAACAGATTCTCTTTCTTTATTATTATTATTATGAACAGTGAACAGATTCTCTTGCTTCTGGCATGAACAGTATCTTCAATTAAAGCTAGCGTACCACTTGGGGTCTTGAAAAGAAGAATAAGTTAACAGGGAAGAGAAGAGCAACAATAGATTAATAGAAACAAATTATTATACTTGATTGTCGAAAATATATTAATTTTGAGATGAGATTTTGATTTAAATTGATTGAAAATGTGATAGAATGGAAAACAATATAATAAATAAACAAATAGATTAATGCCTTTCGACAGTACATGACAAAATTAAAACAGACAAGACATCAAACTAAAGAGAGAAGAATTACAACCATATATATGATTATTAATTAACAATTTTTATATCATTGTAATGAGAAATAATCACAATTCACAAGCCAGCAGAACCGCAGAAGAGAACATATGCATATACACACACACACACACACACTACCTGAATTAGGGTTTGGCAATCACACTAATTTGCATAGACCACATTGAACATGAAACCCATCAAGACCATACAAGGCTCGCAATTAATTAGGGTTAATTCCTCAATTAAGAGGTAAGATCGAAGCACTAGTACCCTCCCTCCATGGTAAAACCATTGTAATACCAACATATTAATTCAGCAAACCGATTCTTCATTTCTTCATAATTTCCAAGGAACACATACATACGATTAAGCCTGCCACAGCAATAACAGTTGAGAAAGAAGAAAAAAGAGTAGAAACCTACCACGATCTTCATTTGTAGTTTATTATCAGGATATCCAAACCCAGCAACAAATGAGGACCTAATTACATTACATATATAAAATCAAGCCAACTCTCTCAAAGCGGAGAAATCCAGGTGATGAGGATTATTACCGACCACACCGCCGCCGCCTCTGTCGGCCGCCAGTTTACTCCCATTAACACCAACAACGGGAGCCTGATTGGCGGAGGAAGGTGGCTTCTTCCGCTTCTTCTTCTCGTAGGTGATCCCCCTGGCCTTTGACTGCTCGTCCCTCACTTCCCTCAGGTACAGCCTAACGGCGCGTGCCCCGAACGGGTTGGTCTCGGGCAGCCCGCCGTTCTCCTCGAAGGCTGCCCGGAGGCGGCCGATGAGCGCGTCGAGGCTGCCCCAGGCCTGCTTGAGCGGGCAGGGGCAGGGGGCCGGAGGGTGCGGGTGGCCGAAGAAGGGGCAGTTGGGGGTGTGGACTTTGGTCTTCCCGAACTGGTCCAGGTACCTGAGGAACTCCAGCACGTGGGCCCCGCTGCACCGCGACAGCGCCAGCGGCGGCCTGTGGTTCCTCAGGTACTGCCCGAACGTGTTCCAGTCCCGCCGCTTCTGCGACTCGTAGCGGCTCAGCGGCTGCTGCTGCTGCGGCGCCACTGCCGCCACCTGGTAGTACTGGTGGTGGTGGTGGTGGTCGTTGGTGCCTGATCCTGATGAGGAGGAGCCGCTGCTGGTGGAGTTACTCACCATGGATCCCGCGGCTGCGGCGGCTGCTACGGCGGCGGACATGTAGCTAGCAATGGACAGGAAAACCGTGGAGGAATAAAGGAGATGAAGAAATGAGAGGAGAAGTGAAGACAAGGGGTTCCAGAGAGAGAGAGAGAGAGAGAGATGTGGAGATCGGTAGCTATGTATGATTTATGAAGCGTTGGAAGGGAAGAGACGAGAGAGGGTAAAGAAGGAAAGGAAAGGAAAGGAAAGGAGACAAAAGAGGGAGGGACCCATGCAAAAGAAAACGCCCACTCACGTCCCTCTCTACCTCTCCCTCTCCCTCTCCCTACCCCACCCGTTATAACTATTTTTATTTTTTAAAAATAGAATATTAATACTATATTTTATACCTAACTACTGAATTCATCACTTAATTAATTATTAAGTACGTGTATTATTATTATTATTGTACTTTGGTGTTGACAACGTAAACATAATCAAGGTAAGAAACATAGGTTTTCAGTAAAGTACATGGCATGCACATGCTAGGCATTTTCATGGTTATCTAGAGTTCTTGCGTTGACTAGAGTCAAAGTACTTCAATCCAATTACTTGAAGAAGGAATAGGTCATGTGATGAAGTTGAGTTTTGGGTGTCCTCAAGGAGGCAATCCAAAGCTCATGACATGCATTGACAGCAAGGCTCAATGAGAAGGTCGTGTATTCCCAATGAAGTGAAACATGATATTTATTCACATTATTTTTGTACGCCAAATGGATCCTTTATTCATGATAAGTGGAAATACAAGTAAGGGAACCATTAGATATGGTGTAAAATTAGATAAAAATAGTGATCTAATCGTGCGGAAGATATTTTTTCACTTCTAATTCACCCACGACTAATAATAAACAAGGAATAAAAGTTTAGAGAAAATTATAGAGTACATATAGAATATAGATTCAGTTATCTGTAAGAGAAAATGTCACTAACGAACGAGCTACCCAATAAGCCCTAGAGTTAAACTTCCTAGCCATATCTTTTACCTTAATTTGAGATTCCATACAAAGGATTGAGATGATTGATCATATCCAAGCCGCAGCCCTCCAATATCATCTTGATGAATCTTCGGTTAGTGGTTGAACTAGTACCTGATTGGACCAAACATTCAGATGCATATTCTAGCGCTATTTTGAGACCTTCAAAACGGTCTTCGTTTTCACTTCAATTGGGGTAGAACAAAAGACTGTATTAGCCCGTCCATTACAGACCTGTTCATGGTTGTCAACTACCACAACACCATAAGTCATCGACTGGGATTCGCTTAGGAATCACCCATCACAATGAAGAGAAATTTTACAATGCTATGTAATATTGGTGCTATAGGTTTTTGTCTTTATGGTACAACTTAAAATTGTACATTTACGTTATGGTACAACTTCATATTATACCATACTGTTTGTACAAATTCTTTTATGGTACAACTTGAACTTGTACCTTTATGTTATGGTATATTCATTTCTCAAGGGAACTTCAAGTTGTAAAGTTGTACCATAACATAAGGGTACAAATTGCTTTAAGGTATAACCTAAACTTATACATTTAATGTTATGGTACAACTTAAAGTTGTACATTAAAGCACCAATACTATATAGCATAATAGAAGTGTTCAACAATGAATCACTATTGATTGATATTGCTTGACGGTGGATCACAGAGAAATTTCAGTTCTCTTGAGCTGATTAGAAGGAAGAGGAGCGAGCGAGGGATAGGGGACTCTGGGGCATGACGTCCACTCAATGAAATCCTTGGAGGTTTACATAAAAATATTCTAGGGCCAAGGGGTACAGTTTAAGATGACATATTCATTTCTCACCTTCCAAATATTTCATAAGAGAAATATTGTGTGAATGAGACTTCTAAGTTGGATAACCAGTGGGAAAAAAAGACGTGGACCGGGAACGCAAAGAGATGTGCGGGAAAATGTTATTCCAAGACCTAACTGTGTGAGTGCAGGCAAGAGACATTGAAAACATAGACACATTCGGATTCTGGCACACATGAAGAGTTTGGAGAGTACTTACAATGGATAAGTTTCTCGTTCGTTGCCAAGCCATTCGTGGAGCACCTCCAAATGAAGAGTTTTAAATTTTTGAAGGGAGGTGTAAGTCTCACATCCATTTCCACCTCATTTGCATTCCCCAAAGTTTGAGAATTAGTGTTGACACGCCATAGTTGGTCATTCAAACGGTGTGGAATGAGCTCAACATGGATTAAGATTGTCATTCCAAGACCAACAAAATTGGGTCAGATGTTACTAGTACAGTTTGATTCACTTGCCAGCCAGTAGTAATATGTATATGTCGAACCAGTATCAGTAATGATAGCTAGACGATTATATATATTTTTGGGTACCACAAACCATGGGCAGGGGCGGACCCACGGGTGTTTAGGGGTGTCCGGTCCCCGGACACCCCTAAATTTTGGGAAAACGATTATCCAACCCCCGGTAGTAATTTACGTATTGACAAAAAAATTATAATTGATAGTCGGGGACACTCCTAAATTTAAAAAAGTGAGTATCCTACTCTCATCTTTTAGTTTGAGTATGAGGATATAAGTCGTAGTTTGGGTAATTCAAACCTAGGACACTTTTATTATTAATAAACATAATTTTCATTAGGCTACAACTCATATGTTATTCGATTTTAAACACTGTGTAATAGTATAATGTCATTCTCTATCTCTAATTATTTTCAAAATCTAACAATTAAACAAATTTCAAGCTACCCTTAATTTGTATTGATTTATGGTTGTACAACAAGTATTGAAAGAGTTTTTTCAGCTTTGGATTACATCAAGAACAACTTTAGAAATTGAATATGTGATCAGTTCGTGAATGATTGTCTAATAAGATATACAGAGACAAATTCTTTTGAATAGTGTAGACCCCAAGTGTGTTCTACAATCATTTTTTAATATGAAAACACATTGTGAATTTTTTCAAACTGTATGAGTAAAATATTTCTTATTTAAATATTATTTATTTTTTATTAATTATTTTAGAACTATTTGTATTTAATTTATTTTTTAAAAGAGGACACCCCTATGTAAAATTTTTGAGTCCGCCACTGACCATGGGGATTGGGTTCTTTCTTTTCTTCCATAAACATCATCGTTCCATCACATACACGTACGGTTGGTTTGGTCTAATGCCATATATATAGTTTACTTAATTGTAATGCTCAGCCTTTTGTTCCTGCAGCCACCTACCTGGCCCTATCTATCTGCCTGCCTAAACGCTCTTCTTTCTGGGTCTGCCCCCCGGCCGGTTGCTTTCCCATGTTGTTTTGGGTTGGATTCAGTCGCTGTTTTGGGGAAGAAAAATACAGAATCCTTTTAGAAAGAAAAGGAAAGGTACAGTGGACTATCGTTTGCTTTTGATAAATCTGGGCCAAATTTAATTATTAGCAATTATTATTATTGTTATAATAAGGGCACAGTGATCTCCCAGTTCAGGCAACTGGCAAGAGGGAGAGAATTCCGAAAACAGGAAGACTTATGAGGTAAAATCAGGAAGAAAAAAGAAAGAGAATTTTGTATGGTTTAGTCACTTGTCAACTGTTTTGCTTATTTGGTGCCCTGATCAGACCATCATTCAAAGAATCCATAATAGCCCATTTCTTATCTATTCGCTTCCAGTATTCTGCACCAAAGAACGAAGAGAGAGAGAGATTAAAGGAGCTTTCTACTCAACCTGAATGTCACAATGATTATTCCCACTCTTTGTGCCAATTTCCTTTAGTTGGCGTGTTTTTCTCCAACTCCCAACACAATCCCAATGCTTTCCCCCCACAAATAAGTTACGCATTTTTTTTAAATGACAGACAACTTACATTAGAATTTAGAAATAAGACCCTTTCCAAAAATGCTCATTACATCTGAAGAGATAGTACACTTTGATCGGATGTGTACAAAAATAAAGGTAATGGTCTTTTTTTACCAAAAAGTTAGCAACACTATTACATTCTCTATAGATATATAAGATATGAACACCCAAATCTCGTGCAAAACACGTTTGATTTCCAGAGTTAACAGACTATGTCGATGCTCAACATTATGGTTGTTCTTATGATGGTCACAGTTGTGGTGGAGTAAAGGCAGATACAGACTTTCATTTAGCTAGAGTATTTTTCCTCACGAAGAAAGGCTTGGTTTAGTGAGAATATCATTAGTCCGGAATTTAGAGGTTGCATGTTTATTATCCCTTAAGAAATCACTAACCACAAAAAATAAACTCATATCACTCTTATAAATGAAAATAGAACATTTACCTACAAATAACAAGTTAACATTCTTTCTTATATCGGTGTCTAGGCACATAAGTCTTACACTGCGTTTTTCTTAATGAATACTCAATAAATTAGTGTGAGATACACAACTAATCTTACAATTTTGTAAGCGGTCGTTACATAAATTATCTGTAAATTGCGGATCGGTCCGTAGTAGAGCTATGTTGTTGTTAGGATGACCATGAGACTCATCAAATTCCCAAAATAGATAGAAATGTACATAAATTTTGACGTAAGTCTATCGCATGAACAAATTGAAAGATTCTATCCATTTTGACTCGACTGCTGCGGTAAATTTCATGTATTTGTTGCATGGCATGATATTGCTAATTTGACTCTCCAAATCAAATAGAGAAACCCATAAAAAAAAAAAGACTTGAGCATCGTTACTTTATGCATGATGATTAAGCATGCATGTTATGAAATCAACTATGGTAAAATGGGACACGTACCAAATTAGAACGAATATAGTCGGCAAGCGACCTAGAAATGCAGGAGAGGGGTAAATAGTAAAAACTAAGTAAGAAGTAATAATCCTCCCGAAGTCCGAATCCCTTTTGTTTATGTTTTTTGGGTTTTCACCCTGTGAAAGAGGGCTGTATCTGTTGATTGACCGGTCGGTGAAAGAAGAGGGAGACAAGGGGCGGTGGTGGTGTACATAATCTGGCGTTTGCCTTTAATAGCCAGCAGTGGCAGCAAAATTCGTATAGTTTTTGGCTGATCCAGCTGATAGCAAAAGTAAAACAGAGCACTCACTGCCTACTGCTGCCTAGCTAGTCGGGCAATGTCATATCTTGTCAAACGTCTAATCTCCTCTGCAGCAAGCCCTTTTTCCC